GAGTCTCAACGTCCTTTTTATAGTCTGGGGACCAAAACTGGATGCAGGATTCTAGGTGTGGCCTTACTAAAGCTTTATAGAGTGGTATTAGGACCTCCCTTGAGCTTGACTGTATCCCTCTGTTAATGCAGTTTAGGATTGCGTTGGCTTTTTTGGCTGCTGGCTCCTATTTAGCTGGTTGTCCACTAAGACTCCAAGATGCCTCTCCCAGTCACTGCTATTAAGCCTGGTTTCACCCGGTCTCTATATGTGTCCTTTGGGTTTTTCTTACCTAAGTGGAACTTTTCTCTACACTGAATTTCATTTTGTTAGATAGGGCCCAGGGTTCAAGTAACTCGAGATCTATCTGAATCTTGAGCCTGTCTTCTAGGATGTTAACTATTCCTGCCAGTATCATCCTTGGGTAAGTTCCCCTTCTATACCCTTGTCTAAGACATTTATGAAGATATTGAAAAGTCCTGGGCCTTGTGGTACCCAACTTCTTATTGAAAAGTCCTGGGCCTTGTGGTATCCAACTTCTTACTCCCCTCCATGTAGACTTACAACCTGTGCCTTGTGCTTTGCCTATGAGTGGCTGCACTGTTGTGGGTGCCATTTAGTTAATAATTAAACCCCTCTCCCCATTTTCCCCCCTTCCGCCTCCCCTAGTCATTTTGTGAATGCTGGCATCATACTCTCCCACCCCCGAATCCCATGGGTTCCGAGCAGTTTTCTTCCCCTGCCACAGAGTTTTTGCCCCATCCTGAAATAATTCCTTGTAGGTAGAAAGGTTGGAACAGTTAAAGATACTGAACCCGTCCACTGGGAAGGTTTGAAACCTGAGCATCATGCGACGGGTTGAGCTCCCGTTCCTTGCTCCAGCTCCTGCCCACACAGCAGTTCAAAAGCAGGCGCATGCGAGTAGATAAATAGGTACCAATTTTGTGGGAAAGTAACAGCGTTCTGCGCCACTAAGCATATAATCATGCTGGCCAGATGACCATGGAATCATCTTCAGACAGTGGGGGCTCCCTTGACTAAGAAATGGAGATGAGCATCACCCCACAGACTCAGGTACAACGAGACAAGAAAACATTTACCTGTACCTTTAAAGGTAAAAGTAAAGGTTCCCCTCGCACATCTGTGCTAGTCGTTCCTGACTCTAGCGGGCGATGCTCATCCCCGTTTCAAAGCTGAAGAGCCAGCGCTGTCAGAAGACGTCTCCGGAGTCATGTGGCCGGCATGACTCAACGCCGAAGGCGCACGGAACGCTGTTCCCTTCCCACCAAAGGTGGNTGTATTGTATAAATGTGGTGTGCGTCTAATTTTTGTGTGTCTGTGTATTTTACATGTTTTTATATAACATGTAAAAATACCTCTGCTTTTTTTCCCCTTCTTCTTCCTCTTTCTAGCTGGCACGACGTACATTTTCGGCAAAGGGGGGGCTCTGATTACGTATATTTGGCCCCCGAATGACCGTCCGAGCACGCGGGCTGACCGGCTGGCCGTGGGATTCAGTACGCACCAGAAGAACGCGATTCTGGTGAGGGTGGACAGTGCCTCTGGACTCGGCGACTACTTACAGCTGCACATAGTAAGAAAACTGGGTCCTTAAACGGGAGAGGTTGGGGGGGATTGGTAAGGTGGGGGGGGGTATCGGAGGAGATAGTCGCTGCCTCTCTGTCTCTCTTGGATTTCGCTCGAAATGTTGCTTTTTGGGGTAATGGAACGAAAGAGAAAGGCCGTTTGCGGTGATGTAAAACTCCTCTTCCCCCCATCCTTTTTATTCTCCAGAATCTCTTCTTTATTGAACTGGATCCAGTGGTACTTTGGTACTTATCCTTAAGGGGTTCCGGGAGGCGAAATGAGTACCAAAGAAATTCTTCCCTTAAGGAATAACGTAGAGCAGTGATGGGGAATCTTTTCAGCATTTTGAGTGTCCAAACCAGAACGCATATGTGTGCATGCCGGATTGCTGGAAAACCAGCTGGCCAGCGCCTACATGCCTATTTTTTGGGCATTTGTCCGGCTGTTTTTGAGCCATTTTCAGACCATTTTCCAGGCTTGAAAAATGGGCTGAAACTCTCAAAAAATGGCCTGAAAACACCCCCAAAACAGTCTGTCTTTTGTCCGTTTTTTCAAACCATTATCAGGCCGTTTTTCAGGGTATTTTCAGGCTGTTTTCCAGCTCTCCGGTACCCGTGAAGACCAGCCGCCTGGCGCTTTTTCTGCCGGAAAGCAGAAGAGCATCTGGCATGTGTGGGGTCTGCATGCCACCTCTGGCATGTGTGTGTCATAGGTTCACCATCACGGACATAGGGAATCCCAAGGCAAACGATATTGGCAAGTTCTAGTTTATGTGTCAAATACTAAACAAACGACGAGTCCCGGGGCAAAATGTTCGCGTCAAATTCGTTGAGTCCCAAATCCGCTGAGTTTCAAAGCATTTTGAGTACTGAGGTACCACTTACTTTAACAGAGGGGGAAATAAACAATAAAAATGTTTTTAAAATGTTCCTCCTACATGAAGTAGGAGAAAAGCAGCTCGGGATATCTCTTATTCGACTGATTCATTTACTCCTGCCTCTCCTCCAAAACTCAAGAAGCTTTTACTTCTATACTTTGTTCCTCTGCTTTATCCCCCATGACAACCCTACAAGGTTGGCTGGATTGATAGTTTCCCCATCCCTTCCTCCCTGCCCCCCGGACTTGAACCTGGCTCTCCTCATTCTTCCTCCATCACCTAAACCGCAAAACCATCCCCCCTTCTAGGAAATTGGGGTAGGTGGTGTGCGTGCAGCCCGATCTGCCCTTTTGCAAATCCTTTCCAAATCGATTTGGGGCCCTGAGCCTCTCTTGGAAATAAAACTAGATGGTGGCCATCTTTGCAAACTTCCCCCGTGCTGAACTCTTCGGGGTTTGTGGGTGGATGTTCAGCTTCGTGGCTTTAGAATAGAATAGAATAGAATAGAATAGGATAGGATAGAATAGAATAGAATAGAATAGAATAACAGAGTTGGAAGGGACCTTGGAGGTCTTCTAGTCCAATCCCCTGCTCATGCAGGAAATCCTACATCACTACAGACAAGTAGTGATTGAGGCCACTTTATCTGGGAAGGACTGATCTTCCTTGCAGACAGCTGGTCATTTGCATCCTTTTAGAGGGTCGTTGAGGCCACTTGGAGGTTTGTCTGTGTCCTCAGAGTCACCTGAGTGGTGTGGAGCCTTCTTGGAACTGCTGAAAGGCCCATGTTGTAGACTGGCGATCGATGACACCCTCCTTTCAGCAGTTCCAAAGAGGAGCCCCTCAAATACTGGAATGTTGCTATCATGACACCCCTGGTTCTTTTTTTCATTAGGCCAATTTCTGTCACTGTGTTTCATATATTTTAGCCTCCGGCCCCCTAAACATGCTTGGGTTGAGAGGGGCCACGTTAGATCAGCGAGACCTTTCTCTGTAGCCATCGCTCTGCGGAGATAGAAGAAACAGAGTGTAACAGAGGCCATTCCCTTGTCAATCATTCAGAATCGAGCTGAAAGGGACCTCGGAGGTCTTCTAGCCCAACCCCCTGCTCAGGCAGGAGACCCTGTGCTATTCCAGGCAAGTAAGTGACTGTCCGGTCTCTTCTTAAAAATCTCCAGGGTTGGAGCACCCACAACTTCTAGTGGCAAGCTGTTCCACTGGTTAATTGTCTTCACTGTCAGGAAGTTTCTCCTGAATCCCAGGTTGCTTCTCTCCTTGGTTAGTTTCCATCCATTGCTTCTTGTCCTGCCTTCTGGTGCTCTGGAAAATAAGTTGAACCCCTCCTCTCTGCGGCAGCCCCTCAAATACTGGAAGATTACATTGTCACCTTGTGTTCTAGCATTCCAGTATTATGTTCTGGAATCTTGTGTCAGGGTTCCAAATAGCATCCAAAATTAAATCAGAGTCCAAGGCAAAAGTATTGCTCAAAGTTCCAATTTATGAATACAGCCATGTTGGCACATCTGGGGAAACCCGAATCTGAAACCTTCCCAGCTTTCCCCACCCAGTTGAAAGTTCAAGACCCTGCCCCCCACACCCACAAGTCCATCCCATGGTCCAATCTCCCACTGCCACGCTGGCAGCTTCCACCCATCCANAGCAATGGGTGGAAACTAATCAAGGAGAGAAGCAACCTAAAACTAAGGAGGAATTTCCTAAAAGTTAAAAAAATTAATCAGTGGAACAACTTGCCTCCAGAAGTTGTAAATGCTCCAACACTGGACGTTTTGAAGAAGATGTTGGATAACCATTTGCCTGAAACGGTATAGGGTTTCCTGCCTAGGCAGGGGGTTGGACTAGAAGACCTCACAAGGCCCCTTCCAACTCTGTTATTCTATTATATATTCAAATTTGCATCGGCCCCGTTGTGAGAAACAGAGGAACTCTTCCCATGAGGGCTGTAGGCAGGCTGAAGAAGGCTATTTTGCCCACCCCTCCTCTGCGAAAGGTGTCAACCTCTCCTCCGCTGATTTTTACCCATTTTAAGATTTTCTTCCCTGGGATAAATTTCTGCGATAAAAGCATCAACAAACCCCGTCGTCATTTCTATTTATTTTACGGGAAGCCTTCCCTTGCAAGCTGCCCCTCATTTCACAAGGCTCTTTTGCCGCAATTAGCAGAGTTTTTGAGAGCCACTCTTAACAAAGCAAGAGAAAGGCGGCTCATTGACACGGATGCCTGGCTGGGGTGGGGAGGTGGGGGGGGGAGATAGAGGGGGGAATTACCAATAAAGCAGAATATTGGGAGCTCGGGGTTGAAATGAGGAGGTCCTTGGTGGTTTTCTTGTCGCCTAGTTTGGGTTTCATTGCCCAAACTAGGTGTCATCTTCAGTGCTAGTCAGGAGTGGAGTTTGCTGTCAGTTTATATTCTAGGTAATAATAATATTATGGAATATAAAGTGAGAGCAAGCCACACTAGCACTGATGATGTTACCTAGTTGGGTAATGAAATGTCTGCAAGAAAACAATGGAGCTCAAAGATTACTAAGGACCCCACAGCCGCCTCCTCCTCTTCCTCCTTATGTTCTCCTCCTCCTCCTGCTCCTCCTTCTCCTTCTGTCCTCTTCCTCCCCCTTCTGTCCTCCTCCTCCTCTCCTCCTCTTTCCTGCTTCTCTCCCTCCTTCTGTCCTCTTCCTCTTCCACCCCCTTCTGTCCTCCTCCTCTCCTCCTCTTTCCTGCTTCTCTTCCTCCTTCTGTCCTCCTTCTTTTCCTCCCCCTTCTGTCCTCCTCCTCTCCTCCTCTTTCCTGTTTCTCTCCCTCCTTCTGTCCTCCTTCTTTTCCTCCCCCTTCTGTCCTCCTCCTCTCCTCCTCTTTCCTGTTTCTCTCCCTCCTTATGTCCTTTTCCTCTTCCTCCCCCTTCTGTCCTCCTCCTCTCCTCC